TCCCATCACTGCCCTACCCCAGTAGCCCCCACAAACTGGCTCCCAGTAAGGGTGTTTCCCTTTCCTCCCCCTCCATTGTGCTTGAGGAACAAGGTTTGGGTTCCATGTTATGAGGTATGTAAATGGCATGCTTATGGAAGGACTTATGTGGGGACATATGCAACACATAGGGGAGGTACGTGCTCCCTTGAATTTGGCTCTTGCCAGCTGGGGAGTGGGGGCACCGATAGAAGCGCTGGCAGCATTTTCAGTTTTGCTGCTGGCACTTCTAGTTTTGCTGCCACTGCTTCTGGGGTTGGCAATCAGCTGCTGGGGGACTCCCCCACCACCCAGTCAGTGATTGGCTGCTGGGGGATCCCCACCCCAGTCAGCGATCAGCTGCTGGTGCCCCCTCAGACTCAGGAGGTACCAGTCACCCATGTGTGGGGAACAATCAAAGTAAAATGTGGGGAATGAAAGGAATGCCATGAGGTCATTACAGCTCCAAGTAGAATCAGAGAGGAAAAAAATAAAGTATTGTGTAAAAAGACAGCAAATACCTCAACAGCAAGTTAAGCATATGAAGTGAAGTGAGGGGTGAAGGAGACAGTGAGTGAGGTTGGTTGGATCAAGAAAAAACATTGAGGCTAATATTGGAAGTGGCTTACCACCGGGCTTGAGATGAGAACCATCAAAATATAGATTCTAGGAAGGAACATCACGTAATCTTAGAAGAGTATGGCTGGAAGGCACCTCAAGAAGTCATCTATTTCAGCCCCTATACAGGGCAGGATCATCCTTGTCTATATTTTTATTTCTATTGAATGATTTAGAGAAGGGAGACAGAGGTAGCGAGGAAAGAAGGCAGGAAAAGGACACTTATGATGGGGGCCATTTTACCTATTTTTGTTCATAATCCATGAGCTCCACAGGTTCATCTTTGTGAACAGTCAGCCAGCTGTTCCTGGACGACCTGATAATAATAATCTAGACCCACTCCCAATGAGTCTCCCACTCTAGGTACAAAGAAGAACTTTATTGGTTATAAGGAGTAGGTTTGGAATAGGGCACAGGGTAGAGCAATATCAGAGAAATCCAATAGAGCAAACAGGCATGGCTGGATAGCCTTTGATCATGCATCTGAGTTACTGAAAGCTATGTATCTAGTTAGATCTCAGGTAGCTTACTCACAAGTATCCTCTAGACGTAGGTGGAGATTCCCTCTGAAACCAGGCAGTTCATTGATCATGAGTTTCAAGAGAGAGAGCAAGTTTCAGGTGGTTCTAGTTCTCTGAGTTTTCATCATGGCTACTGCGCCTCCTCCTGGACAGTCCTTAACCTATATAGTCCTTATGACCTCATTTACCTGGTCCAATGGAAGCCACCACCTGTCAGCTGCCAGCCAACCAATTTGAAATGCATCACTGGTTGCCGAGTAGACTGGCAGGGTCTCTAGCCCCCTCCCAGTCAGGTTGACATTGCTTAGAACAATAGGGAGCATAAGCCCCTCACCCAGGTATGTGATGCCAGTCACGTAGGCAGAGGGAGCAGGTTTTGCCCCTCCCTCAGGAATGTATCCAGCTCAGGTTACAACTCAATGTCACCTGAGAGAGGGACGTCTGCCCTCTGCAGGGACCATGTTGTCACAGCAGATTTTTTGGGGAGAGACAGAGGTGACATTCTGCCACAATATCTATATCCAATTTTTGTACAAAAGATAGAATATAGCATTGAACTTGCCCAGTACCTTGCACTTGTACCTTTTCTTTATTTTGGTTTGCATCTAGTTTATCAGATGCTGGTGAACTATAAAGGTATTTGTGCCAACCATACCTAGGGTGACACTCAAGTCTTTCTTAAGTCATCCTCAATGCATAAGCTAATTCTATTCCATCTTGGAGGAAAGGCAGCAAGAGGGCACAGCAGCCTCCCTGGCTCTCCAGGGATCTAGCAGACCTCCTGAGGCTAAAAAGAAAGGCTTACAAAGGATGGAGGATGGGATTCACCTCCAAGGAGGAATATTCTGCACTGGTCCGGTCCTGCAGGGAGCAAACGAGGAAAGCCAAGGCTGCAACTGAACTC